GGCGGAGGCGGAGGCGGAGGCGGAGGCGGAGGAGGAGGAGGAGGAGGAGGAGGAGGAGGAGGAGGAGGAGGAGGAGGAGGAGGAGGAGGAGGAGGGCCAGGGGCAGTGGCGCCAGGTGCGCCGCCGCCGTGGGCGAAGCGTCGGCGCATCAGCCTGTACAGGGACGCGGACGAGACGGTGGAGGCGAGGCGCAGCCGCCTGCGCAGCGCGCTGAAGGACGCGGCTGTCAAGGGGGTGGAGACCTTGGTTGACGCGTCGCAGTACATTCAGCGGCAGGAGCTCTCGTTCGACGAGGGCATGGACCCCGCCTTGGAGTTCATGTGGGTGATGGGGTTGTCCCCCGCCGCCGTTTTCTGCCACCTCCTGGGGCAGCTGCGGAGGCTCTTCGCGGATTGCTTGCGCGGTAAGCCTCGGGAGGTGTTGGAGCGCGTCCTGACCGACATGCTGCTGAACGCGGACGTGTCGCACGTGCGGGACCTGGTGGTCGCGGTGGTGCAACACCTCGTGAAGCTGCCCGCCCCGCGGGGCGAGGCGGAGAGGCAAGCGATCTGCAGGCTGGGCGAGGCCTTCCTCCGCGACAGGGCCTCCCTGGAGCAGCTGCCGCACTCCCTGCAGAGGCGCGTCTGGGAAGAGCAGCCAGAGCTCATCGCGGACAGGGTGGAGCCGCTGGCGGCCGAGTGGGTGCGTGGTATGCGCGAGCGCTTGGGAGTGCTGATGATAGACTTGAAGCAGAAGCCGCCAGAGCTGCGTCGGCGGGAGGACAAGCTGTTGCAGAGGCTCGCCGAGCTGGTGGGCACATCCGCCTCGCTGTACCGTGCCGTGCGGCAGTTCCTCCAGCGCCGCTTCGAGCACGCCGCCGACTCTGGCGGTCCAGCGCTGCGGCTACCAGCGCCGGCCAGAGGGGGCGCGGATACCCGCGCTGCCGCGGCGGGCGCGCCGGTGTCGCTGGGGCGCGAGCCGTTGCTGGCATCGCTGCGCTCGCAGCTGCTCTTGGTGCTGGTGGACAGAGGCGTGCTGCGTCAGTCCTTCGGGCCCTGGGCGGTGACATCAACGTTTCGCGAGCAGTCTCTCAGTTACGGGATGAGACTGACCGTGAGAGGTGGGAGGGTGAGCGGCACATCCGAGCTCCAAGGCATCAGCGAGGTCAACGGCACGCTCGACGGCTCCAGACTAGTCTTCCGGCAGGTAGGGGAGGGCGTCTCTTACCATTGTTCCTGTACCGTGTCAGACGACCAACAGCGCCTCTTGGACGGCGTTTGGCATGTTCTTGGCACCTCCCTGATCGCAGGGGAGCAGGGCTACTTCACCGCGTCCCGCGAGGGCCCAGTGGTCTTTCTCGACGCCGCGGGTGAGGCCTGGGACCCCGTGACCCCGCTGGTGGTGGCGCTGGACAGGGTGCACCAGCAGAAAAGCGGCATCGACGCCGCCACGCTCGCATCTCTGCAGCAGATCTTCCGGGGCCGCCGCTCCGCCGCGGCGGGCGGTGCCGACGCGGTGCCGAGCCACGAGGACGTCAGGCTCGCGCTCATGGACCCGTGCGTGGTCCAGTCTGTGCTCCGAGGGCTGCTGGCCTCGAGATCCTGCGAGGACGGCCTGCTTGGTCCTGAGGCCCGCTTCGCACTGTGGCCCCCTAGCTGATGGCCTGCCACGACTCGGCGCCGGTCAGGAGCGCTGATCCCGCAGACCTGCTTGGCAGCGTGCCCTCGGCCACGGCGCTGGCTGCTGCAGGCCTGCAGTGCGGCCACGTCGCCGCCACCCTGCAGAAGCACCGGCACTGCAACCTCTGCGCGGGGGAGCCGGGCGCGGCCGCGACGCTGAACGCCGAGCTCGTGGAGATGCTGCGGGGTAACATCCGTGCACTCCCCGAGAGGGTCCCAGCGCTGACGGTGGCGCGCCTGTTGCTGAACGCCCTCATGAATAAGAGTCTCTTGTTCAAGCACCGCGAGGCCTTTCAGAGTTGCCTCCTCGTCGCGGCCGATGTCGAGCGCGAGCTGGCCCAGCCGGGCTCGGCCCTGGACTGGGTGATGCTGCAGCAGGTCGATATGCTGGTGGGGACCGCGCTGCACTTGCGAGACAAGTTTGACACTGGGCTGCGCAAGACTGTCACCGAGCACCTGTTCGCTCTTGCGCGCAGGGACCCTTGGGTGCACAGCCGCGTGGCCAAGCTGCTGGAGGTATACCAGCTTCCCAGCTTTGCCTCGTCGAGAGAGGAGATTAACTCCCTCACAGAGACCCTCAACCACGGGGCATTGAAGGACAAGCACTACGACTGGTCAGTGGAGCTGTCGGAGGCGTACGTGCCCGTCCTCCGCAACAAGGCCCACTTGACCTCGATCTACCGCGACTGCAGGCTCTGGAGACAGGCTGTGCACGGAGGCGCTGCCGTGACGGCGCCAGGTGGGGCTCCGCTTCCTCCGAGTGCCGGCGGCGCGGCGGGCCCGGCATCTTTGGGGCTGTCCGCGAGCGTCGGCTCGCGCGATGCGCTGAGCGCAGAGGACGCCATCGTGGCTCCCAGGGTGTGCGAGAGGGTGCGCAAGTTCTGCACCGAGGGCGGCAGCACCAGAGAAAGGGCCCTGGAGGCTGCCTCGTTGCTGTCGGACTCGTTCCGGGGGCATCACTCGGGCCAGACGAAAGGGGGGGATTGGGAAAGGGGGGGTTACGAAATCTGCTGCATGCAGCTGGTTTCGGCCCCACCTAGGGGCCCATTCCTCGATACATGGCCGCCTCTGGCGCCAGGAGGCGCCGGGAAAATCAGCTACGTGAGCTGATTCTCAAACCCCCCCTTTGCCATCCCCCCCTTTTGCCCGGCCCGAATCACTGGGTGAGCTATCTGGTGGCCAAGTGGATCGTGGCTCTGGGCGTCGACACTTCTCTGGAGAGGTCGCACGGGTGGCTCGCCGAGCGGGCGGCCCGTGCCAGCCCCGCGCCACCATGGACACCTGAGAGGATCCTGCGCAGCCTGTTGAGGCGGAAGATGGTGGCGGAATTCAACGCCCACAAGGCCGACCCCTTGCTGATGCCTGTTAACGGGGTCTTGCGCATCCCTTCATGGCTGGATCCCTTCATTCAGGTGCCGGAGTGGCGGATGGTGGTCTACGAGCTCACCAAAGAGTTTCGTGGTCAATCGTCGTCCTTCCTTTTGGCCGTGCTACTGCAGATGTCGGAGGCGGAAAGCTACAAGGAAGAGCTCGCGTCCAACCCCTCGAGCACCTCCAATTTCATTGTGTTCTGTCGCACCTTTCGCACCGAGCTCACGCGCTTCTTCGACCTCCTGAACAAGGACGCTTCCCTCGTAACATGTGCCATCGACGATTTCTGCAAAGTCTGCAGCTTCTCCGAGTACACCTACGTGTACTCGCAGGCGGTGTTGCATCGGTTGATGTGCGTCAGGCCTGAGGAGCGACCCTACCTACAATATGTTAGCCAGGCTCTCACGGACGCCGCCATGGAGCGCAGCAGCAACGTGCTGCGCCAGGACCTTCGCTTCAAATTCTCGTCTGCCGGTGAGTACTCTGAGATCTTCAGCATCCTGCAGTCGATGAGCCGCTTCGGCCGGCACGTCAAGGTCGAGCCTGGGGAGGTCTCGAAGCTCTCTGGCCTGGTGCAGGGGCTGCTGGACTGGGCGGTGCCTGGGCCGCAGGGGCCCCCGACGCAGCCGCCCCCGAAGGCCCACGAGGAGGCCCCGGGGGCGGCCCCGCCGTCGGCCTCCAAGGCGCCCTCGGAGGGCGGCACGGAGGCCATGAGCGACGCTGGCAGCTGGCTGGACCCCGAGGACCGCGACGAGTGGGCGGCGCCCCCCTCGGACGGGCCCACGCCGGAGCCCGGCCTGGGCGCGCCCGCCTCGGAGGGCGGGGGCCGCGCCCTCTTCCCCGCCACGGGCTCCGTCTGCGAGTCGGAGCCCGACGAGGACGGCGAGGGCCGCTCGAGGCGGGTGCAGATCTCCGTGGCGGGCTCCTCGCTGATGACGCCGAAGGACGGGTCCACCACGGGGACGCCCAGAAGGCCTGGCTCGGAGGAGACACGCGTGCCGAGACCGCTGCGGCCAAGACGCCGAAGCAAGGGCCACCTTGGGCCCAGGGGGGGCTCCGGGGCTCCGGTCTCTGGGCCTTCCCTGAAACCTGGGTCGGGGAGCATGTTCGTGGCCAAGGCTCGCCGTGGCCAGCAAAGCCACTTCGTTTTTTATTCGGCGTTCGTGCTGATCGCGCGATGGCTGACCCCGTCCCTCGTTCGCCACGGGTGCATTCGCCCTGAAATCTTGGTCAGAACGCACTCCAGGAGAGGTGTCCTTGAGGTCTCGGCGTCGCAATTTTTCCACACTGGGCGGTTTCGCCTTGCAACTCGGGCCCTGGAACCCTCGCGGATCGATCGGGCTCGACACATGCCGCAGAAAGATGAGGCCTAGGATTCCGGTCGTGATTTCCCGCGCGGTGGAGCATTTTTTTGCGACGTCGGATCTCAGGTGTACAGTCGGGGCGCTGAAGAAGGAACTCTTTCTCGTTGGGTAGGGGCTCCGTGTTCCTTCATTGTTTCACAGGTTGCCCCACGTTTTCCTTAGGTTTTCGGAGGGAAATCGAAGTTCAACTTCTGGAGAAAAGGGGCCTCGTTCCTTATTCAGGGTTCCTAAGGTCAGCGCCCCGACTGTAGCGGTATCGGTACCTTTTGGTTCCCCCACTGGCAGGCCAGGGAGGCCGTCCGCGACCCCAACGGGGCTGTCAGAGCGCACCGCCAGCATCTTCCACATGCCCGCGGTGTCGTCCGCAGCGTCTGGCGGCGCCCGCCCGGCGCCGCACGACGCCGGGCAGGGCGCCGTGGGCTTCCCAGAGAGCCCCGAGGCTCGAGGGGCGACAAGTTGGAGGAATGCGCATCTTCGGAGGTCCGCGCGGATTTTCCGTGCACCTGCGCTGGAGGCGCCCCCTCCGGCGCCGCCCCTGGCGCGCTCCGCGCGCCAGGGAGGGGGGGGGGTGGCCCAGCGCAGGCCCGAGAACGCCGTGCGGAGCCCCGCAGGTTTGGGTGTGTGGCGTCTTGTTGGCTCCTCGAGAGGCGCAGGGGCTGCTGCAGGCCCTGCGCTGCCCCCACCTCCTGGAGGCCGTCCTCGCAAGGTTCCTGGAGCCGTCCTCGGTCCTCGGCGCCTGGGAGCTGCGCGCCTTCGCGCGCCTCCTCGCGGCCATGACCGTGGACGGGCTCTGGCCGGGCTTGGGCGCAGACAAGCCGGGCCACCGCGACCTCGCGAGGGGCACGATGGCCGCCTGCGCGGAAGAGCTCGAGCGGGTGTACCAGGTGGCACATCCAGGGGGCCACATGCGAACCTTGCCCCTACCCGGACGACTTCTGAGGGGGAGGGTGGGATTCACTTTGCTCGGGAGCTCCCGAACGAGGTGAACCCCACCCTCCCCCTCAGAAGTCGTGGGGGGTAGGGGTAGGGTTCGCAGGTGGCCCCCTAACGTCATCCTCAGAACCTCCTGGTGCAGAAGGTCGCCGCCCTGATCCAGCTCCAGACCCACGCTGTGGCCTCGCTGGCGGGGCTCCGGTGGCTGACGCAGGTGGCGCTGGCCAAAACCCTGGCGCCCGCGGAGCTCCTGACGCGGATGTCGCAGTCCGCCGTCTTCGTGCTGCTGCGCCGCGCGTGCGACGCGCACCCGCTGCAGCTGGGCAGCGTGCTCCGAGTGCTCGGGCACATGCTGGAGCTCCTGCCCTGCGCCGGCCGGGAGGTCGACGAGCGCGGCGAGGAGGAGGAGGAGGTGGTGCTGGAGGAGCTCGCGGAGGAAAAATGCAGAGGCATCATCTTGCGGAGCTCCGCGCGGGTTTCTCGGATCTGCGCCTGGCCCCCTGGACGGGGGTCCCAGCGCCGATCCAAGAAGTCCGCTCGGACCTCCGAAAGTTTATGCTTATGCCAATTAGTTGTTGTTCCTTTAGGATCGTCAGGATGTCTGGAGGAGCGGCGTCGCCGGCGGGGGGGGCCTCCCGGGCGACGCGGAGATGGGCAGCCCACAGCTGGCCCGCGTCAGGCGGATGATTGCGGCCAGCCTTGCGTATCTGGCCGCTGCGCCAGACGGCTGCATGCAGGTGCTCGAATTCGTCCGCGCCCACGAGGGGCAGTGGGGCGGCGAGGAGCTGCGCCTCTTCCTCGCGGACCTGCTGCCGTGCATCGCGCCCCCGTACTCTGTGCGCTTCGTCTCGGCCGTGGCCAGACTACTCGATCGGCCAGCCGCGTGGGCGTTCGGCGGCGGCGAGGACGCGGCGGCGAAGGAGCTGCCTAGCATCGCGGGACGCTTCGCGGAGGACTGCCGACGATGTCTGGAGGAGCTGCCGCAGGAGACACAGACGGCGCTCGCGGCGGTGGAGGCGCGGCTGGCCGGCCGCGCGCTCTCGGAGGCCACGTCGCCGCCAAAGCACCAGATCGGGGTGGATGCGGTCGGCTTGGTGCCCGCCGCAGTGAGTGATGCCACCGTGGTGGCGCCTACCGGCCAAGCGCCTGCCGAGCCAGACGCAGACGAGCTCATGGGCCTGGAGCTCTGGAGCTGGTGGAATCGGAAGAAAGGGGCCGCCAAGGTGGCACCCAAGCCCCAGGAGGGCCCGCTCACGCTGAAGCCGATGAAGAGCAAAGGCAAGAGGACGAGAGCTCCGAGCGCAAGGCCTGGCAGGAGGAGGCACGCCGAGGGGAACAGCGACGATTGCGACGAGGACTCCGACCCGAACCAGGGGGCCGCCCCGCGCGCGCCCGCGGCCGCCGTGCCCAGGCTGAGGCGCGCCCGCACGGCTTCGCGGCGGTTGAGCCCCGGCGTGGACGAAGATGACGACGCAGAGGAGGAGTTCGATTTCTCGCGCTCGGCGCGTGCCGCCGCCAGCGGCCCTCCCCCCGCGTGCCCAGGGCCGCGCGTCGCCCGCTCGCGCTCGCGGGGGGCTGGCGGGAGCGGCAGCGATACGGAGTCCGTCAGGCAGCCCAGCGAGGATTGCGCCGCAGAGCCCCCGACTGCGGAATGCTCGCGGGGCAGCGGTGGCCGCCAGCAGGCTGCCACAGCGCCGCCCGCCACCGCCCAGCCGCGGGCTGGCGGGCTCTGGGACAGCGCCGAGAGGTCGGGCGCTGAGAGGACCGCCGTGCCGCCTGGCCAGCCTGGAGGCGCCGGCGACGGCGCCTTGGCGTCCAGGGCGCGCAAGGTCAAGCGCCTAGCCTTCCACAGCATGCTCGCCGGGGCGCCCGCCGCCGCCCCGGGCCCCACGGCGCTCGCCGAGCCGCCGAGCTTCTCCAGCAACACCAGCCCGACGGTAGGCCGCAGCCCGACGCCAGGCACGGCCGCGTCGCCAAGGGCGAGGCCTGCCGCCACAGCGGCGGCAGGCCCAGCGGCGCGCGACGCCGCCTCCAGCGCTCAGGCCAGAGCCGCTTCTGGTGTCACTGCGGAGCCGAGCGCCCCCATGGTGCCGGGGGCAGCAGCAATGCCAGTTTGTCCCTGGGTCGGCGGCGAGGACAGCGGCATCAGGCTGGACGCCGAGCTCATGCAAGGGACGTGGCTACACTCCTACGGCGGCGAGGTGACCGTGGTTGGCGCCGCCGTGATGTGGAAAGGGAATCAGCTGGGCGACCTCGTGGCCCAGCCGGGCGGGGTGTTCGAGTTGGCCGGCTGGGTAGCCGACCCTGGCCGCAGCTCTCCGGACAGGGTTCTGTGGACGCACCCGAGTCTCCCAGTCTGTTGCTGGGACCGACCGAACGCCCAGAAAGACAGCGCTGAATGATAATTACCATTGTGTGGCCCCTGAACAGATGGACAGGGACGACTCCAACGTATACAAACCCAACTACGCGTGTGTGTGTGTGTGTGTGTGTGTGTTTGCGCGTGTGTGGAACCTGCAGGTGTGTAGAATCCGGCGCGTTGAACCCAGTGCGGGGGATCCCACGTGTGTGGAACCCTTTGGGCGTTTGGAGTCCAAAGTGTGCAGCCCTGCGTGTGGCGCTCTCCGAGTGCGAGTGTGTTTGTGTGTGTGTGTGTTGTGCGTGTGTGCTCACTTTCAACAATGTTGGGATTTGTTTTTAGTTCATATTGTGAGTTTCGGGCGACGTCCTGGACCCAGCCAACATACAGCTAAGTTTAGCAGAAATCGCAATCAGACAGACTCTCTGACCTGGAAGGAAGTGCAGGGCAAGCCCCACGTTTTCCAGTTGACACGTTTGTATGTGCACGTGGAGATTAGCCTCTTGGTTTCTTCTCCTCCTCTCTGGCTCGCGTTTCGCTTCCTTCCTCTCGCTCTCCTCTCTGTGCCTCGTGCCCTGTCCCAGCCATCTGTGCAGTCAGTATCCCCAGAGTGATAATAATGTGTGTTTGATTGCAACTTCACACATCTACCACAGCTCATTGTGTATCGAGCCTCCGAGGGTGGAGGCTTAGAGGCCAGCTCAAGCGGGCCAGACCCGCGCATACCCGCGCATACACGTGTAGGGCTTCACCCTCACAGGCTACAGTTCGCGCCGCAGCATTGGAAAAGTCTCCGCCTGGTTTGGTTTCTTGGTGATATCGAACGGACTCGCTTCGCGGTACCGACAGCTGGACTACAACAAGGGGGAGGGACTATACAGAGCTAAAGGCGTGATCGTATTTACTCATCACTGCTGTGTGCCAGGGGGAGTGGAGCATTCACCGTCTGACGGCTTTGTGTACCGCACCCTGGTTCCCATATCCGTTTAGATACTTCGGATTGGTAACTACGTTCGTTCGGAATACAAATGGGGATGTACCTTCGCCGGGATCGAAAGGTTCACGTGGAGCACGCGTCGGGGTCAATCACAACACCCGCGTCCTCTACCATACCCAATTGGAAATGCAGCGGGCACACTGGCGTTTTCGGCTGACGGCCTTGTACCAGAAGGCCCCATGCTGCAGGTGCATGTGTCACAAGTCTTTGCTCAGCGAGAATGATTCCACGCCGTTTTTTTTTCTAATGTACCTTCGCCAGTGGTGTATATGCTGCTTGGGTACTTCCCAGGGGTTTATCATTCGCTACACCTACAAGATTTCTCGGACGGTCGGGAGTAATTGCTCAGGGTAGGTCCGCACAAACATTGGCTCGGATCTGACACGGTGCTGGGCCGAGCGGTGGCCAGCTCGGGGAAGGGGAAGCCCCTGGTCCTGCGCCGCAGGCGCCCAGTGCTGTGTACACTGACGACCAGCCCCGATGCTTATTCGGCACTGGGCGCCGCTAACCCAGCTCGCACGCCGCCGCCGCCGACCAGCGTCAGGCACGAACTGGCCCCGGCCACACCGGACCCGCGCCGGGCACAATCTCAGTCACGCGCCGCCGCCGCGCAGGCGTTGGCTTGCCTTGGGGCGACCCCCGTACGGTGCCCCTGGCTCGCCAGGGCGCGCTCTGGCACGTCCCGGGTACGCCGCAGACGCCCCCCCTGCGCACCCTAAGCCCCAATGCTGCGAGCCAGGGGCCTCTTGTGAATCGGAATGCTGACTGGCGGACTCAGCCGCCAGCAATAACGCTTTCGTCTTCGCCGCTGCGCACCTGGGCGCGCGGGCCCCCGCGCGCACGCGGCGCTGTCATCGCGCCGGCGCCGTGCGAGAACCCGAAGGCCGCCGTCGCGCGCCGTCCTTCCGTTTGGATCACGCCGGCACGCCGCCCTCTTTCAATGCCTTGCATAGCAAACGAGCTGAGGGCCGAATGAACGGCGGCCCGCGCGCTTGGACTTGATCGGCTCTGCTTCGCCGGAAGCAATGCGTCCCCCACTCGAACGCTCGAGGGAGATTGAATCAATTGCGCCGCCGTTGTTTTAACGTACGACAGCGCCTCCGTGAAGGTGAGCGCCAGGAAGGCGCGCATTCCTGGGCGCAGGCGCTTGCGCATCGCGCACAGGCCGCAAAGCCTGCGCCCCTGCCGAGCGCGTGCGCAATTTAGCCACGCCTGCGCGCACACCCGCGCGTCTCCCCCCCTTGGGTAGCCGATCCCGTGCTCATGGGCGCGCGGCTCGCTGGGCCAGGGTTCGCGCATCTTTGTCGCTGCCGAAACTGGATGCGCGCGCGGTCACCTCCGAGTGACTCGGCGAATTCAATTCGACTGCCTCCGCGCCGAACCGTAGGCAGAACTGCAGACATACAATGAAGGAGTCCGCCACGTCGGGCCGTTCAGCCTTGGCACTTGGTGCGCGCCGCCCGCAGCGACCCGCGCGCGCCTCGCGCGCGCCTCTTCGCGAAACCACGTCGCCATGGCACGTGCATTCGCTGCGGTAGCCCTCGACTTGATGCGGCTGACTGCCGGGTCCTCCGCCTGCAAGGCACTTCCGCCCCCTGCGGGGTGGTTCCCCACCCCTGCGCGCGCGCGCCTTCCTCGCGCCCGCAACGAGGTCCAGGGCCCCCGCGTCGGCCCGCAGCAGAGCCGGGACTGACCGAGTGGCCCTGAAATAGCGGGCCACCGCCCCGGCACGATGACAAAACGCCGTCGCGCGCCCCTGGGGTCGGCGGCCGCGGCGGGACCCCCGCCGCCGCGCATGCCTGCCCGTGGAGCTCCACCGCTGCAGCGCGCTGCTGAGTGGATTTTCCTCTCGCGCAAAATTTTCCGAATGCCGCGAATATCTGAAACTTGCGTATCTTGGATGCGTTCAGCCCCGCGGCGCGCCTGATTTCAGCCCGCCGCCGCGGCGCGCCTGCCCGCGCGATCCCCGTCCCGGCCAGAGCGCGAGGAAAGCGGGGGGCCACGGAGACGGCGCGCGCGGGCGCGGTAATTCCCGCTGCGAAGCCACGCGGCGCTGTGTGTATATTGCGCATGCGCCTCAGCGATGCTGCCGACCCTGAGGCCCACCAGGCTAGATTGCTTCTTTCCGTTGCTCATGGGTCAGAGTCTAGAAAAGCTGGCTCGAGAAAGCGGAGTCTAGTTTCGCTGACCCAGGTTGAGATTCGTTGGAAAGAGTGCGATCTATTTGTATGAAAGAGCACGTTCTGCGGTCGCTTGGAGGGGCGGACCGACCCCCCCCCGCCGCCCGTGACGAAGGGGGGGGGTTCGAACCGCCCCCCCCTTTTTCTCTTCCTCCCCTGGTTCCCCTCTCCTCGGGCCAGCGCTTGCGTCGGCGGCAGCTGGCGGCGGCGGCGGGGGCGACGATTTCCTTTTCTGGGCCGGCGCCGGCGCCTGCGGCGGCGGGCGGCGGCGGCGGGGAGCGTTGATGAGGACGACGGTGGTGGTGATGGTGGGTTGTGGTGGTGGTGGTGGCGGTGGTGGTGGTCGTGGTGGTGGTGGTGGTGTGGTGGTTTGTTGTGGTGGTGGTTGTGGTGGTGAGTGGTGGTGGCGGTGGTGGTGGTGGTGGTGGTTTGGTTTGGTGTGGTGGTGGTTGTGGTGGTGTGGTGGTGGGTGTGGTGGTGGTGGTGGGGTGTGGTGTGGTGGTGGTTTGTGGTGGCGGCGGTGGTGATGGTGGGTTGTGGTGGTGGCGGTGGTTTGTGGAGGTGGTGGTGTGGTGGTGGTGGCGGTGGTGGTGGTGGTGGTGGTGGTGTGGTTGTTTGTGGTGGTGGCGGCGGGTTGTGCTGCTAGTAGTGGTGGTGGTTGTGGCGGTGGTTGTGGTGGTGTGGTAGATTGTAGTTGTGGTGGTAGTGGTGGTTTGTGGTGGTGGTGGTGGTGGTAGTGGTGGTGGGTTTTTGAAGTAGTGGTGACGGTGGTTGTGGTGATCGTTGTGGTGGTAGTGGCTGTGGTGGTGGTGGTGGTGGTGGTGGTTGTGCGGTGGTCTGGTGGTGGTAGTGGTGGTGATGGGTTGAGGCGGTGGTGGTGGTAGTGGTGGCGGTGGTGGTGGTGGTAATCGTCGCTGCGTCTCCGCCGTCGCCGCCGCCAGCGCTGGCGCTGCTGGCCGCCGCCAGCGCTGGCGCGGGCGCCAGTGGGGGGGGGTCGAAACTTCCCCTTGGCGCCCAGGGGGGGTTTGAACCCCCCCCCCTTGGGCTGTCTCTGGTCATCGTCGCTGCGTTCCCGCCGTCGGCGCTGCTGGCGGTCGCCAGCGCCGGCACCAGCGCCGGGGGGGGTTTTCGGGAGGGGCGGGGTCTGGGGAGGAGGGGAGTCCCCCTGGTTTGGATCGACGGCGCCGAGTGTTGGCGGGGGGACACCTCCCGGCTTGAAACGCGCCGCCGAGCGTTCCCAAAGCAAGCGCCCCTGAAACGCGTTCTCTGATATACACACATATATATACACATACATATACATAAACATATATGTATGTATTTATGTTTGTATGTATGTATGTATGCATGTATGTATGTATGTATGTATGTATGTATCTATGTCTGCATGTATGTATGTCTGTAATTATGTGTGTGCTCACATGCACACCTATATTCATGCAACTTTCTAGAACCATTGCAACTTCGCTCGCGCTCAAATGCTAACCAGGGTCATGATCATCGTCGTCATTGTCTTCCTCATCCCCGTCATCTTCATCGTCATTGTCATGGTCACGGTGACCTTCACCATCACCATCACAACAACCGGCCCTGGCAAGGCCGACGGTTTGATTTGCATCGCGGGGTAGAACCTGGCGACGAACAAGCGCCACGTCCTGTGCGTCCTGAGCAAGCGGGAACTTTGTCGGTGTGGGTGCAAAGGCAGGGACGCGCCGTGGGGCTGCTTTAACCGCCTTCGATGGGGTCTGGCCGCGGCCGCTGAAGGCGCGCGCCCGCGTCTGCGATGGGGCCGGACAGCATGGCCGATTGAGTCGGCATGCGCGTTGAACAATCTGGGGACGGAGCAGCTGCAGAACAGGTACGTGT